CGCAGTATTCTCCACATGTAGTGTTCCAACGCTTTCCAGTACTAGGCCATGTGCCACAGTATTCTCCACAGGTCTTGTCCCGGCTCTCGCCATGACTGGCATAGGTTCTGCATTACTCTGGTCTCTAACAGCCAAAGCAGTTGGTCCCAGAGGCTTGAAAGAATGCTCAAGTTGGGTCCTGTCCCTATGCGTTACCAGCCCAGGTGCCGCAGTATTCTCCACATGTAGTGTTCCAACGCTTTCCAGTACTAGGCCATGTGCCACAGTATTCTCCACAGGTCTTGTCCCGGCTCTCGCCATGACTGGCATAGGTTCTGCATTACTCTGGTCTCTAACAGCCAAAGCAGTTGGTCCCAGAGGCTTGAAAGAATGCTCAAGTTGGGTCCTGTCCCTATGCGTTACCAGCCCAGGTGCCGCAGTATTCTCCACATGTAGTGTTCCAACGCTTTCCAGTACTAGGCCATGTGCCACAGTATTCTCCACAGGTCTTGTCCCGGCTCTCGCCATGACTGGCATAGGTTCTGCATTACTCTGGTCTCTAACAGCCAAAGCAGTTGGTCCCAGAGGCTTGAAAGAATGCTCAAGTTGGGTCCTGTCCCTATGCGTTACCAGCCCAGGTGCCGCAGTATTCTCCACATGTAGTGTTCCAACTCTTTCCAGTACTAGGCCAGGTGCCACAGTATTCTCCACAGGTCTTGTCCTGGCTCTCACCATGACTGGCATAGGTTCTGCATTACTCTGGTCTCTAACAGCTGTGGTTGCTTCAAGAGCCTTGGCGGATTCCTCAGCGGATCTCTTCATCCTTTTATACTTCATCCTCATTACACGTGAGTATTTCGGTTTGGGATTTTTAGGAACGCTTGAAGATGTGGCATCTTTACTGATTTCCTCGGTATCCACCGGGTTCACTGAGAGGTTAGTCAAAAGTAAACTTGATTTTTCCTCGTTAGGCTCCCTGAAAGTCAGCATCAACTCTTCCTTTGTCTCTTTTCTTTCAGGACGCAAATTGAACATGATATTACCATATGTCTGATCTTGTGCCCTCATATCTGTATCTTCTGTAGTTAAAGTTGTTATTATTTCCTGTTTTTACAAGTTTGGTTGTGATATTAGGTCGCTTCAGGTACTACCCTATAAAAAATAAATTTAAACATAACAAGCATTTTGTTTTTTTGCTTTTTAGTTAAATCAAGTAAACATAACTTGTTCTAATAAGTTTTTTTTAAAGGATGGATTTAAGATCTATCTATATATAGCTTTATAAAAAAACAATTAAGAAATGGATAAGAATGAGCAATGAAAAAATTATCTATGACTGCATCAAAAAAGAATACAGGACTATGTTGTCAAAGAGGCCAAGATCAGAAATTCTTTTTTTTTTAAAGATTGCCTCCTAATCCTAGACATTTTATGCTGTAATGATCATTAGGAGTCATACTAATTAATTTATTTTACAATTAAGTTACTTTTCCTTTACGTTTAAGTTAGGGAGTGTCCTATAAGTAGAGGGAAATTTTATATGAGCGACAATAGATATGTGCGTAACATTGCCTTATTTTTAGATAGAAAAAATTTTTTTTAATACCTATTTTCAAACAACTGTATTTATTATGAAAAATTAATTTAACTTCAACATTTAATGTTTTGTTTTAGTACACCTTTTTTTAATATATTTCTTCAAATTGTTCCCTATTATAAAATGAAATACAATATTTTGCACTGTCCAATTAAATGTTTCTAGGCATCATGATAAAGATTCTTTATGCTGTGTTCTTAACATTAAATTTAAGAGGACGGGATGGCCGAGCACATTGGGGCGTGGATCCCAGGGTGCCCGATTCTGAACGTTGTGGGTTCGATTCCCACCTGGGTTGGTTACTTTTCATTTCTCGGCGGCCCCGGGAAATGGATCGTGACATTCCCACTCTGGCAAGTACGCGGCAGCAATCTTAAAGGTAGCAGTCAGGGGTTGGCAAAAAGGCCAACTTGCCGGACTAGTTTCCCCCACCCAGTACCAGTAACATTAAATTTACCTACTTTCACATATATTAATTATTTTTCTCAAAACCGCTACAGTCAAATCTCTAAATATTTAACTAATAAACATAAAAAATCTCAGTACATAAAACTTTTTTAACACAATGAAAGGTCGCTAGCCTTAAGAGTCACATGGAAGATCACTACGGATCTGGGTGATCCACTTCACTAAATCAATTGATTGATCAAAAATATCAACAAATTCCTAATTGTACCGAAAGAAAAATATATAAGATGGGTTGTTAAATATAGCCACTTCTACTCCAAATACATTTCACTGAAATACATTCCATGAATAACAAATTAGAACTTAAGGAAAACAAATTTTATCTACTCACAATGCTTAGTGAGTGGTGATGAAAATTCACGTTCAACACAGAATAAAACAATAAAAAATAAGAGAAAAAAAAAATAATGTCTAAAGAAAATTAAATCCTTATAACATAGTATGTATTTAACCAGCGTCTGATTGGATTGTGAAGAGGCATTGGAATAAGAGGGTTTTAAAGGTGGATAAGGATGATGCATGGCGGATTTTTAGTGGGATGGAATTCCAGAATGCAGTGGAACGGACAACGAAGGAATGTTTAAATGATGCAGATCTGTGGAAAGGAGTGTAAAGGTCAGAAGGACGAGATCTTGTGGAGAGGGTGTGGATAGATGATTTGAATTGTAGGAGATTGTATGCGTAGGATGGACGATGACTATTGATTATTTGGTAAAGGAACGTGCCTAGGAAATATTGTCTTCGGAAGGAAGGGAAGAGCCATCCTAATTCAGCATAGTGGTGCGAAACACGGGAATACCTCAGGGCCCCTGTGACAAATCTTACGAAGGCATTCATAATTCTTTTCAGTCTCTCCCCGAGTTCTGCCGAGAGGCCACCGTACACCACGCAGCCGTAATCAAGGTGGGGGAAGATGAGGGAAGTTACTAGGAGTCTACGTGTGGAGATGGGTAGGAGATGGCGGAAGCGATGGAATAGTTTCAAGGTACCAATTGACTGTCGGGTAATGTGAGCAATATGGTGTTTTCAGGATAGGGTTTGGTCTATGAAAATGCCTAGGTTTTTTACTGAGGAGGTGAAGGTAATGGGATGGTCATTTAGGTACAGTATAGGTATGTTGGTATTGGCTCTGAGAAGGGGTTTGGAACCAATGACAATGGCTTGAGTTTTTGCAGCGTTTAACCTTAACCCATTTAAGTTTGCCCAGGCACTGATCCGATTCAAGTCTTCTTGAATTTTGGCAAACGCTTCATGCAACTCTGAAGGATGGAAGGAAAGGTAGATTTGGGAGTCATCGGCATAAAGGTGATGGGAGCAGTGAAGGATTGAATTATGGATGTCATTGATATAAGAACTAAAAATGAGGGGAGATATGCTAGAGCCCTGGGCCACTCCTGCGGACAAAGTAAGATAGGAAGACAAGGGTTGATTAGGAATAGCGACAGCTTGTGAGCGTTGGGAAAGGAATGATTGAAACCATAGGATAGAACTATGGGAAAAGGATAATGATTTTAATTTGGAAAAGAGAATGGAGTGGTTGATGGAATCAAAGGCTTTGGAAAAGTCAATAAGTATAAGGACGCTTAGTTTTTTGTCATCAATGGCGGACTGAACATCATTAATGATTTTGATTAGGGCGGATTGTGTGGAATAACCTGGTCGGAAACCAGATTGGTAAAGGTCAAGTTGATTGGACTGTTCAAGGAAGGTGGAAACTTGGGATTGCACAATTCTCTCCAGGGGTTTGGAAAGGTTAGAAAGGATTGAGATTGGCCGGAAATCTTCAGGGGGAGACAGATTAGAATTTTTATTTAAAGGACGGACTGTGGCTTTTTTCCACATCAATTTTAAGAGTGAAATTGGCAAAAGTTTTTTCTCAAGTTTAAAAATAATTAGATGAAGTTGAACTTTTAACTCAAAAGCCATTGTTGTTTACAGCTTAAGGTATAGAAATGGCAAAATAGTCAGTGATATTTATTGGTATGGCAATCGCATAACAATTTATTTCTTTATTTGAAATATATCAAGTTAGATAATGAAAGTGTAAGAAAAGTATTTTTTTTTTTTCTTAAAAATAAAATGGCTACTTTTAAATTTTATGATTTAAAACTCTAATGGAAGTCTTGAACTGATTTAAAAATTCTTTCTGGGGCATGAATTATATATTGTTGATGAATTTAATGAATAAAGAATTTTTCTATAACAAGATGGACAAAAGTTCTTGATTTGACAGGTGTCTTATCAATGGGAATCTCCTTATTTTAAAGAACTTAACAAGTGAAGTCTAGATTCAACATTAATATCAGCTGTAGGAAAAATTCAGATTATTTATTTATTTATTTATTAAAACAGTTTGTTTTCCGGTAAAATCAATGAATTGAGAATGTTCACACTAAAGTTATAAGATACTAAGAAGTGCATATTTTTTTTATCAGTAGTTTTTCTCAAAATTAGGAAGACTAGCTTGTGGTTTTTAATCTTTAAGCTAATAATTAGTAATTAAAAGTAGTATTTCGGAAAGAATATTTATAAATCACTCACCTTTCAAATTATAGTGTTTTCAAACTTTAGGCGTTATAACCTTCTGTTTGCCGGACTTCCCATCCAAAGAGATACGATTTTACTAATTCTCCACTTTGATTAGAAATGCTTAGAAAGTATTATTCAAATCTTCTAAATATGAATTCATTACTTCTACAAGCTGGTAGTTAATATTACTAAATGATGGAATCATTATATTCTGAAAATACGAACAGAAAATATTCATGTAGAGATATATACAGTAAGGCTGGGTTGCCGCCCTGCTATCAACTCTCCCACTTTTCTCATTCCATGTTTGCCTAAGGTAGTAGGTAAAATGGCGTGAAGGTAGTGGTTATAGCGAAATTGACTTAGATAAAGAAACCCGTTAAAATGGCTTCGACGGGTATTTTACCGACTCACCAAAGATATTTGAATGGAGCTCATCTACCGTCTTCCGTAAGAAGATCTTTTAGACCTCGAGAAAAATATTTAATAATTTTAGTATTTTTTACATTCGGTGTAGTTTGTTTTGGTGCTTTCTTCTTTCTTCCCGATTTTAAATTTGTCAACTCGAGCAGTAGTGTTTATACTGTTTACAAACAAATTCAAAAAGCTGGGCCAGAACTTTTATTCCCAGCTCCTCCCCACATGGATGAATTTAGTGATAATTCTAGGTCTAATAAATTAGGTATCTTTAGGCATGATTTCCTGGATCAAGATGATCCACACGAGTTAGAAGACAAGGCTAAACTTAAGGCTAAGATAGCCGAAGATATGGAAATGGATCGAAGGAGCCAAAAAGTGCTAGAACGTCCGGAATATAATAAACCCTCGACCAGTTCATCTACTAAAATGGTCGAAACTCAACAAAAACATCAAGAAACTGTTGCAAATGTTGAAGTTGACAATGAGTTGATAGTGACAGTCCCTCCAAGTTATAGTGATCATTATCCGAACATCAATAAAGGAGAAGATTCAGATCCTGTCGCAAGAGAAAGGCGCAATAAAGTTTTAGAGGTGAGTGTTACCATTAGATTAATCTAGTTGATCTTGAATAGATTTATCTGATTTAACTTTTATCATATCTTGTTACATCAAATTTCACTCTAAGTATATGATCTTATCAATAGATTAGGGATTGTTTATATCTGCATCATATGTATATATTGTTTAAAATGCATTTAATTTAAAACTGATAATAGAACGCAAAGCTTAAAGTAAAATTTAAAACTTTGCTTTAAGTGTTATCATCCATTCTATTATTGTTGTTTATGTTCATTTTAGGTGTTCTTTATCTATTGATAACTAGTTAAAATGATTTCTTTAATAAAACAGCTGTTAATTATTAATAAGATAAGAAATCACATTGTCAATTCACTTAAAACCATCTTTTGTCAAGATGCACTATTATCAATGATCTTAAATTTTGAAAATTAACAATAATTACTTCAATTCAGTTGATTAATTGCAATAAATCTTAATATTGAAATTAATCTCTACATATGAACAAGATATATCATGGTTGTCACTAAATTTTTATGTTTTAAATCATAATATATACATATATTTTGTTTTTAAAAAGAAAAATTATTAGCAACACTTAAAAGATTCTCGATCAATTATTCACTCGAAAAGAGAAAAATGTAAATCTGATCATGTGTCAGTAATTAATGTTCTTAATAAGGGGATTTTCCCAATAAATTTATTTGTTTAGGGTGGGGGTAAAGATTCCAGACATGGAACAGTTCCAACTCATGATGGATTTTGTTTTTTAACTGACAATATTTTTATATTTTTTGAATTTATAAATTTTATATATTTTATATATCGTTGTCATTACTAATTTTAGTATTTTATGAAATTGCTCAATGTTAGTAATTTCAGTAGCTATATTATTAAAATTTGTTGTCTCTATGTTGAACCATTTTTATTATTTTTATACTTTTTTATCTTGGCATATATTTTTCTTTCAATTTTCATTGATAAGGGTTTATCACTTGTCAAAATATCTTCTACACATTTAGACTACGACCATTTGTAAAATCTTAAGAATGATAGCTTTATCGTTTTTTTTAAAGCAAACTGATTGTATTACCTTTAATACATTTCATAGCCATATATTTGGTCTTCGAGTTATTTCAATTCTTGATTCATGCCGATAAAATATTTTTATACTGACTACCTAATCGTTGTTGATAATATAATCAGTAAATTGATTTTCTTTCCTTTTCTTAATTGGGGGTAAATGGTTGACTGTCGTGAATAATGAAGAGAAGAATAGTTGGGGTGATCATTCAAATAAGAAGGCAAAAATAAATGATAATATTCATAATAAATATATAATATATATTATTATATATATTATATATAATAATAAATATAATATTATCATTTATTTTTGCCTTCTTATTTGACTGATCACCCCTACTATTCTTCTCTTCCCTTTTCTTTTCTTGTTTGTATTAAAATATAGTGCATGTAGTGAAATAATACTTCCATTATAATGTCTTTTATGAATAAAATATTGACAAACTGATGTTTCAGAGATTTCCTGCATTATATGGGTTCCATTTGAGAAAAAAATAAAATAAAACAATTATACTACATAAATCACTTTCGATAAATAAATATAAATACCAAAACCCCACAACTCATAACATATTTTTTATGACACATTTAAATATTACTTTTAATAATTATTGCTTATTATTTATTATTTTATATAAAAATGTTTAATCATAATATTAATAAAATACAATTGTTTCCTATTCTGTGGAAATCACATTGGTTAAATATCTCAGTTACACAATGCTATAAAAGGATTTATATTTATTTATTGATAGTGATAAATGCTTTTTAAGAACCACCAGTTTGTGCTTGTGTGATGTTTTATTAATATAAGGCATTATAACGCAAGTAATTTTTGACTACATATGTATTTTTAAGTAATAATAATAAATAGAAGAAGAAATAAGAAAAAGCATGATATTTTTTGTTTTCTTAAATGCTTCATTCATATAACATTGTAACATCAATAACCAATTTTAAATGACCTAAAATAATTTATTTGTGTTAATTTTAAATTAAAATTTTTAAAATAACTAAATTGTTGTTAAAGTCATGTTTCTTGGTGACATTTCAAAATATTCTATGGAAAATGGTTTCGCTAATTTATTGTTGATGATTTCATCATTGTTATTTTTCCTGAAATATTCCTTATGCATTGATCATGGCACTGATAAACTTGAATTGTTTTTAGTAAATATAACTGATGAAATCTATTTTTATTTTGTAATTTAAGAAAAAAAAGAAAGAAAACATGCTTAATTAGAAACAATAATCGATTATAATGACTTTCCATTTTTAATAATTATTCAATTAGATACAGTAAAAAAACAAATAATGTTTGTTAATAAATTTTAAAGTTTATTATATTTATGATCATTTTAAGTATTAATAATACTAATATTAAAAGCTTTCTGAATTCTAGGATCTATTGAGTTTTTCTAAATTATTAAGCTTCTATCGAACGAAAGTTCGGTTATCAACAAGGTTTATCAAGGCCTTATCAATTTGATCTCGACTCAGCTCAGAAGTTCGAGTTGGCGACGGTCTTTCCCAAACTATAAACTTATTTCTTAAAGCTTTTCTTTTGGATTACGTTAAGATTGATAAATGGATCTCAAATATAAGTTTAAGACCCCTGTTATAACTTACTCCTAGTTCTCGAGGTGAAATAAAGTAGCTAAACAAAAGATAAATTTAAGTAAATACTTTTTTTTTTATTAGCCGAAATTCTATTTTCACATACAATTTATATATCAATAGTATCATTTAAAAATTGTCTCATGTTTTTTTCCCGACACAATGTCATAGAATAGGGTAAAATACTAATTATTGACACCACTAGTGGATCCAGGATTTAATTTTGGGGAGGGATTCAGCCCGAAAGCTTTTTTTTTATATAGATCTATATATATATATATATATATATATATATATATATATATATATATATATATATATAAAACGATAATTACTTTGAAAAAAATAAAGAAATTAATTACGTATATGAAAGGGTGTTTAAGTGATTCTTGATGTTCTATTAAATGTAATTACATGAACACGAATACTTTAAGAGATAGTTTTCAATGTTTTTTTTTTTCAGTAAAATATGGTTATATTTTATCATTTTGGAGAGGAAGCGAGATTTCAGCCCGATACCCCCCTCCCCTTCGTAAATCTGCCTGTGATTGACACTTGTAACTTAAATTTGATATAATAAGCGTTTAGGCTCATGTAGGATTTCAAACTTGGCGCCATTTTAAAGGCGCATTAATACCGATTCCCGCTAAAATTAAGTCTTCATTGGGTGCTAAATTAGGTGAAAACGGACATTTATCACTTCATCCCAGTCGCCAGAACCTTACGAGTTTTACTTAGAAGGTGAAGAAAATTTTATTTTATTTTATCTCGTCTTTAAATGTTCTTGAGGTTCACATTCTGTTACCACTTCCTGATGATTTAATATAATTTTCAAGTGTGAATTTCAATTAAAACTTACAAAGTATAAACAACTTATATATATATATATATATATATATATATATATATATATATATATATATATATATATATATATATATATATATATATATATATAATAGAAGTAGGTATATTAGGGGTGTCAATAATTGGTTTTTCAAAATGATAAGATTTCCCCATTATTGACAAAAATTGTATTTAGTATGTAATGAAGTCGACCAATTTTTTTGGCCATTGGAAATGGACTTACTTTGTTCCATTCTTCGAGGAAATACTTTTTAAAGTCTTCTTTCCTAGAAAAAATCGTTGCGTAAATTGTGGGAAAAGATTTTATTTTTTTAACTTGTATGTATGGATTCTCAGATATGTAATATAATATAATAATAATTTTATTTATTTGTTTTCGGGGAATGCCCCATACAAATAGAGTTAGCTATAATGGCTACAATGAACAAATTAATATGAAAAACATTTACAACTTATATACAAAGTAAAGTTCATTAGGATTCAGTGATAACATCCTCTCCTGATAACAACCAAGCATCTGACTGTATGCCTAAATATAAACAATGATATATAATATAATACCCCACATAGTACAATAATTAAAAATAATACATCTAAATATAGCAAGCAATAAAATGACAAATAGTAATAAATAGCACTAGTAATAAAGATAACTACAGGCATAGTATATGCACGATAAATAAACTTCAAAGTTTTGGAAATATATCTGTAATGTTGTTATTCATTGAAAATAAAGAACCTCATTATGCGGCATTGCCTGGTGTAGTAAAACAGGTTCTTGAGGAAGACTTCATTGTCAGTTTTAAATAATTCCAAATAATTCGCCCTGGTCATGTTAATGGAATGATGCCTGTTTAAAAGCCATATTGAGGAACTTGATAAACAAAAACTGATTACCCCTACTAGGTACAGCACAATGTACCTCAATATGTACACAGCGAGTGATAAGCATCAGCCTTATCTCGTATTAAATGCCCCGTTCCATATGACGAAAACACTAACACAGATATTTAAAAAACAAAATTGCTAACGCGGACCACTAGCGGATCCAGGATTTAATTTTGGGGGGGGGCTTCAGCACGGAATTTTTTTTTTCATGTATATAACGATAATTACATTGGAAAAACAAAAAGATACTAACTACCTATATGAAATGGCGTTTAAGTGATTCTTGAAGTCCTATTAAATGTAATTAAACTAGCAATAATACTTCAAATATAATGTTTTTTTATTTTATACCATAAAACATGGTTACATTTTACCATTTTGTGGGGGGTCTTCAGCCCGAAAGCCCTCCCCCGTAAATCCGCCTATGATGCGGACTACCAAGAGAAATTGGTTTACAGCAAAAAAAGTTATTTTTTCGATTTTTTTTTAATTTTTCACATATAACTCCTAAACGGTGCATCGAAGCGAAAAACTTTAATAAATTAAGAAACATTAAATTGTGCGACGAAGGTAATACCTAAACC